TGGCCCTGTCATCCCCAAAGTGTCCCCATGGCCCTGCCATCTCTGTCACCACCCCAGGACCTGAGGTGTCCCAAGCAGGTGTAGGGTGGTGGGGACATCACGGGATTGGGGACAGAGCCTCAAGTGGTGGCAGGACACAACCAAGCACCTTGTGACAGTGACACCAGCGCTGTTTATTGCCTGGGGGGGGACACCCCATGGGACCAGGATTAAAGACGCAGGAGATGACAGGTGACAGGGCTGCAGGGACACCTTGGGGACATTGAGACAGCCAGTTACACGCTGGTGGCCTGAGCGTCATCGCCGCTCTCATCCCAACCCCGCGCTGGCAGCCGGCATCCCGTCCTCCTGGGGTGGCCCAGGGCTTGGGTGATGGCACCTCGGAGCTCCGCCTGCTCCCGCTCCAGCGCCAACAACCGTCTCTCCTGCGATGGGATCACGTCAGCTCCCACCCAGGTCCCTCTTGTCACCCATGGGTGCACCCGCCTCCCAGCTCTTACCAGCTCTCGGTTCTTCTCCTCACTGCTCTTCAGCCTCTCCAGGTCTTTCTTCCTGGTGCCTTCAGCTGCTGTCAGCCTAAATGGGTTGGGGATGAGCCCAGGTCCTGGTGGCCCTGTCATCCCCAAAGTGTCCCCACAGCCCTGTCCCAAAGGGTCCTGGTGGCCCTGTCACCCCAAAGTGTCCCCACAGCCCTGTCCCAAAGGGTCCTGGTGGCCCTGTCACCCCAAAGTGTCCCCATGGGCCTGTCCCAAAGGGTCCTGGTGGCCCTGTCAGCCCCAAAGTGTCCCCACAGCCCTGTCCCAAAGGGTCCTGGTGGCCCTGTCACCCCAAAGTGTCCCCACGGCCCTGTCCCAAAGGGTCCTGGTGGCCCTGTCACCCCAAAGTGTCCCCACCCCAAAGGGTCCTGGTGGCCCTGTCACCCCAACGTGTCCCCACAGCCCTGTCCCAAAGGGTCCTGGTGGCCCTGTCACCCCAAAGTGTCCCCATGGGCCTGTCCCAAAGGGTCCTGGTGGCCCTGTCATCCCCAAAGTGTCCCCACAGCCCTGTCCCAAAGGGTCCTGGTGGCCCTGTCACCCCAAAGTGTCCCCACGGTCCTGTCCCAAAGGGTCCTGGTGGCCCTGTCACCCCAAAGTGTCCCCATGGTCCTGTCCCAAAGGGTCCTGGTGGCCCTGTCAGCCCCAAAGTGTCCCCACATCTTGGGCTTGGTGTGGGGCACCCACTGGTTTGGAGCACCCACTCCCCATCCCCATCCCTACCTGGCACCCAAACTGGCCGCGCGGGCGTTCACCTCCTCCATCTGCTGCCAGAGACGCTCGACCTGCTCGCGGTGCTGATCCTGCTCCTGTCGCAGCCCGCGGTGTTGGACCTCCATCTTGCCCACCCGCGTCTCCATCAGCTGTAACTTCTCCCGGTTCTCCGCCACCTCCTTCCGTAGCACCTCAATCAAGCGCCCGTGCTGGAGGGGGACAAGGATGAGGTGTGGGATCAACAGGCCACCCCGATGAGTTTGGCTACTACCAAACCTTCTGGAGAAGGAGGTTGCTGCCAGACCTTCTGGAGGAGGAAGTTACCTTCTCCAACGGGCGGATGGCGTAGAGCTCGCCCTGTGCTGCCGCCGCCTCCTCCGCGTAGCGCTGCCACGGCACCGTTGACTTGCGCGGCAACGACGCTGATGAGCGCAACTTCCCACGACCCTACGGCACCGATGGCACCACGTTAACGCCGGCGTCCTCCTTGGAGCATTGATGCCAACACAAGGGTGGCGTGGTGGCTGCCATGACTTACCGGGGTGTCACGGAGGATGAGGGATCCTGGGTTGTCCTCAGCTGGTGGCTCCACCACATGCTCAACGCTGTTCTGCTTTCGTAGGCGCCGGGCAGCTTTGCTCTGCGCCGGCACGCTCTGGGTGCGCTGGACGTTGCGACGTTCCCGGCTGGGTGGTGGTGATGGTGCCGGTGCCGGTGATGGCTCCGGTTCTGGTCCATCCTCCCGGCCCCAGACGCGCTGGATGCTGATGAGGGACTGGGTCTTGATGAGGGGGCTGTGCTTGCTCAGGTCCCGTGGTGGCAGGAAGCCGGGTTTGGAGCTCTCTGCCGGACTGAAAGGGAAGATGGGATGGTGGCATGGCCGAGGACCTGACCAGCACCAGACCCAGGAGGGACCAGAACCACCCTGAACCCAACCAGGACCAGAGGCACCCCAAACTCAGTTGGGATCAGACCATCTTCTGAACTCAGCCTGGACCTGAAGCACCTCAAACTCATCTGGGACCAGAAACATCCTCCAAAGCCAACGGGAACCAGAACCATTCTCCAAAGCCAACGGGAACCAGAACCATCCTCAAAACCATCCCTGACCTCAACCAGCTTAAACCCAGCTGGAACCAGAGTCACTCCAAATCCAGGTGAGACCAGAACCATCTTGAACCTGTCCAGTACCGGAAATATCCTCTAAATCCATCTGGGGCCAGAAACATCTGGACCAGAAGTATCCACCAAATCCAGATCAGACCAGAACCATCCCCTGAACTGGGACTAGGACCATCTGCTGTCTGGACCACAACCATCTGGTGGACCCATCAAGGACCAAAACCAACCCCTGAACTTAACTGGGACCAGTGACTCCTACCCCATTCTGGACCAGAATCTCCCAAGACCCAACCAAGACCAGAACCATCCCCTGAACCCAGCCAGGACCAGGACCAGAACCAACCCAAACCCACCCTAGTGTCACCCCTCTACCAAAGCTCCTCCTGGCCCCACATGTCCTCTTTGGTCCCACATGTGTCCCTGTCTACCCACCGGTATGTTCGCTCTGTGGTGGAGCTGAGCTGGACAGAGACAGGGACAGGAGTCCCCTCCCTGATGGCGGTGAGGATGGTGGGCAGGGGCTCCAGCTCCTGCTGCGTGGCCTAGCAGGATGAGACAAGGACATTAGGGGGACAATGGGTGGCCTTGTGCCATCCATGGAGCAGTGGACACCAGCTCTGTGTATGGGGAGGAGCTGGCCAGTCTCACCAGCTACCCTTGGGGACAAATGGGTGGTGGCACCTGGTCCAGGCTGGAGAAGATGTCACAGAGCAGGAGGTGGAGAGTGGCGAGCTCCAGGGCCAGATCCACGTAACCGTCATAGGTGGCCATGTGGACGCTGCTCTCAGGGTTGGCCACGTTCTGCAGGAAGGCCATCATGGTGCTCCAGTTGTGCTCCAAGAACTCGTTCATGAAGCCCATGTAGGCCTCTTTCTCGCCAAACCTGTGGACCACCATGTCCAGTTACCTGGGGGCCAAGCAATGGCCTGGGCCACCACCACGGTCATGGGCCAGGCCACCTCCAGGATTGTGGACCAAGTCACTGCAGTGTCCCTGCACCACGTGACCACCCTGTCTACAGGCCATGGGTGAGGACAATGCCATATTCTTGGACCAAGAACCACAGGTGAGACATGAGGTGCTGCAACTGGGACACAAAAGCCCCATGCATGAAGTGGAGATGTCCTCTCCTGCCCCACGGCACGTAGGGGACATCCCTGTTGTTCCCAACAAACCCTCCATGGTTTGATGGGAACAACCCTACTGCTCCATGACTGTCCACGGCACATGCCACACATCACGTAGGAGATGTCCCCCCTGCCCCATGGCTTCCCCATGGGGATGTCCTGCCCCACTGGTACCAGTGCTGTGCCCTGCCATGACGTACGTGGTGAAGTTGGCCAAGTTCTGGATGACCTTGGCCACCAGAGTGAGTGTACGGGCAGTGGCCTCACTCGGATACTCCTGGACGAGGCCGAAGAGGCTGGGGGACATGATGGCGGGACAGAGGAACCGCAGGAAGAGGGAGGCCGAGACCAGGCGCTGCCCGATGGGCGCTTTGCCCCGCTCCGTGCCCTCCTCCTGCCACGCCGCGAAGATCTCACCCAGCTCTGCTGGGAAGGTGCTGTGGGGAGAGACACCTTGGTGGATGGTCTTGAAGCCCTGCTATGTGCCACCATGATGCGCTGTGAGACGTGGTGTCTACCACGCCTATGCTGTTTCCTGCCTCAATCCCCTGTGCTTGTCCCCCCTGTCCTGTCCCAACCCATCGCATCCCAACTCATCCCAGCCCAACCCATCCATTCCATCCCAACCATCCCAAGCCAACCCAACCAACTCATCTATCCTGTCCCACCCCA